CCGTTAAGTTGGGGATCACTGTTTTTGGACACTGCGACTTCACCACTTGAAGCGGAAACAAAGGCATTATTGGCGACCTTACAACAAACGTGGATCCGGGGTTTCAAAAACGTAATCTTTGAAGGAGATAGTGAAATCCTTATCAAAATAATGAATGGATCCCCGGGAATTAGTTCCATTAGTAATCTGTTGGCGGATATTAGTTTTTGGGCTTCAAAATTTTCATGTATTAAGTTTGATTTTGTCAAGAGAGAGGGCAATCAGGTTGCTCATGTTTTAGCTAAGTTTGGTTGTGTTTCTTCTCCTTTTTACGCTAATTCTGTTTCCCAGCCACTGTGGCTTGCACAACAAATTTGTAATGACATTCATAAGTTAATATAATTTCTGTTTTGACGAAAAAAAAAAAAACTGTTCACCAATGACAGTTAAACAAAAGTACAGTGAATGTTATGTATTTAATGCAAGCCGTGTATTTAATGCAATAAACCATTTATTACGTGGTTATCAAATTTGAACCAGTGTTATTAACGTTGTCTACATGTAACACATTTGTATACACACTACATACATGTTTTACACGATATATAGGATGTTATTAACATTTGTATATATTGTAAATATATTTGGACTTAAAAATGAGTTGTAAGAAAATTAATTTGGGTTAAAACCTCTATTTTACACCCAATTCTCTTATTTTTGAGCGACATGTTTAAAATAAGTAACTACTCCCAGTGACCACTCGCATGATATATACTGGTTTTGGCGTAAACCAAACTTTTTTTTGACATATGTAATCCACAATTTGAAACACAAAAGCTTTCTAGTTTCACAATTTATATCTGTTCATTACGAAATATGTAGCCAAAACGTATTTAGCCCATCACTGACAACAGCTAAAAGCCTAAAACAAACCGAATAGAGCCAATATAAAACTGTACCAAATGCAGATATGAACCGCTCTTGTTGTTATGCAGTCTCTTTCTTGTCGTTGGAATCACAACTGAGCAACACTTAGAAAAGAGGTAAGCTACAAAATGTTGGAAATTAGACATTGAAATTGAGAAGCGCGAAAAGGGATAGACCATAGTAAAAAAAATGAACCGTATCATAAGTTCTATAACTTTCAGAAGGCAATAACAGCACAGCACAGGCTTTGCCTTCTTTTTATCTTTCTAGCATTGTAGAATTAGTTAAAAGTAAAACCCAGACAATACTCTCACTAATCCTACGCAATATAATCTCAATCATTGTCTGATTGATATATATCCATTGATACAGCCACAACAACAGCATTTTATGCTTATAGCAGAATTTGGAGTTTTCACTGGGAAGATCCAGATGCTGTTCGCTGCTCGTATTCACCTTGTTCTGCTTTACTAAATTCCTCAAGCAGTTCACGCTGTCTCTGCGTTATATTTCTGCCAAAGAACATACACAAGTATAATAATAAGAGATTACGATGTGGAGCCTTACTATTATATATCATTTTTAGATTCCATTTACATGGGGTTTTATGAGACTTACGCAGGGATGCTGACGTTGAAATGCACATATTGATCCCCAAATCTAGTCGACTTTCTTGCTCTAATACCTGTTTGTATGGTTAACAAAAGCACGTCATGTTTTGTTGCATTGCTATTAATATCCAGTGAGACAGTAATTAGCCCAATTCAAGACGATCATACTCAAAAGTTTCTTTCATCTTTCAGTTATTTTACGACTGAACTTATCGACACAAACAAATGAGCTCACCTTTATTCCTTAGCACTACTTTGTGACCAGGTTGGGTTCCAGGACGGACCTGTAACAAAAGAGTTTCCAAGTTAGATTACTGGACAAGTTCCAAATATCAGCCCTAACTACACCAAGTGGGGAAAAAAACCCGACACTGTAATTAAGTATTAGTTAGCTAGCAAGCAAAAATCTGATTGTCTTTTTCATCAAAGAATATAAGCATTTATGCTTCATTGGCTAGCGAATGTTATTTATTATTGTAGAAATTGTTCGTTAAGCCGGCAAGCACGCTGGCCATTGACATAACTAGAGTTTTAATCGTAAAGCATGTAAAAGAAAATGAGAAAAGTTTTCAGAAACCTTCACGACAACATCGCCGGTGAGTGTTGGAACTTGAATGGTTCCTCCAAGAATAGCCTGAAAAAAGATGACAAATATACTCAGTTATCATGAACAATACAATAATGATATTAGAACTCACGGATACTGCACCAGAAGTCCAAAATAGATGCTGAAGGCAAAAACACATATGAACTTTTAGATACAGGATTGACAAGACAAATGTCATTTCACCTGGGTAACACTGAGAACCGCATCCACATGAATATCTGATCCTTCTCTGCGGAACACAGGATCTTCACGAACCTAAAAAGGAATACAGACAAGTTATTGAGAATGCAATTAAATGATTTTACCTATGACTGTCCATTAGAAAGTTGACATCAGTAAAGTCACCTTGAGAGTAACATAAAGATCTCCAGGCTGGTCACCTTCAGGATCAGCCCCACCCACCCTTGCCACCTTTAATATATCACTATTGTCAACCCCTGAGAGATGAAACAAATGTGAGATCTCAAAAGTGATGAAAACAACATCAAAAAAAATTTACCTATAGATATGCAAAAAGAAATTTACCTGGATCGATATTGACTTTCACTGACTTCTGTCCTCGAACAACTCTAGCCCCTCTACAGGATTTGCAAATACTCTAGTAATATCAACACAAGAAAATTGATCAGAAATATACTAGTAATAGAAACCTAAAAGACCAAACATTTGGGATAAATTCGACAGAACTGGTGTCTGTCTTTGCGTATATGTAGACACACATACACAGATAAAACACCTATGCAAGTTATAAAAAGTGAAATTATTAAATATATGACATACTGAGAACGTTTGACCAGCTCCACCACACTTCTGGCAAGTCGTTTGGATGCTTAACATACCCCTTCTCATTGATGTCTGAAAAACGTAACTGGAGCACTTTAAAACCACAATAAAAAACGGAATTTATAAATACAGTGTTCAAACTAGAGTTTTGTCACAGGAGACTGACCATCCCAGAGCCATTACAGGCTTTGCATTTCTCTCGTTTGGTACCAGGAGGAACACCATGTCCACCTGAATGTGAAAGTAAGAAAGAAAACAACAATAAGTAACTTGAGACTGAGATAATAACAACATATGAAGCACTTTGATCATAGAAATATATACATACCACAAGTATTACAAGCCACCTCGGTTTGAAAAGTCACAGTTTTGGAGCATCCTTGAACAGCTTCCATGAAAGAAAGATCAAGCATAACCTTACAACAGTAAAAAAGGAAAGAAAAGAGAAACCTATTAATCTGAGAGCACCAAAATTATCTCTAGGAAAATAAGCAGATCGCAATACCTTGACATCTTGACCTCCAATATCTTGCCGGTACATGTTGAAAATCTGATTTCCAAAAGAATTAGCGTGTGAACCAAGGATTTTGATTAATAAGCCACTTCCATTAAAAGGAAATATGACATGGCTATCAAATTAGTAAACAACATTCTTTTGAGTGGAAGATATTAGATCAAAACCAAGAAAGAAAAGTATTACATCGCCATTGAAGCTCCCAAAGATATCAAATGGGTTAAACCCACCACCACCACCACCGAAGCCTTGATCATTTGGAAACCCACCACTAGCATTTTGCTCAAATGCTTCATGTCCAACCTGCAGGCATAACAACAAACTTACATCACATCTCAAATACTTAACCGAGGGAGCCATGCCAGCTTGCTATAACGGAATCCAAGGAAATATTATGGGGCTATTTACCTGGTCATAAAGGTCACGCTTCTCCTTATCTTTCAAAATCTGATCCAAAAAAATCCCAAACCACAATTCCCTTCAGTATAAGATTCCAACAGATCAAACCAAATCATTTCATCTAAAAAGTCAAAACTCACTTCATATGCTTTTGAGACCTCCTGGAACTTCTTCTCAGCTTCTGGGTCATCTTTATTCATATCAGGATGGAGTTTCTTAGCAAGCTGTACAACAGAAACAAAAAATAGCATCAATCAATGAGAAACCAGAAGCTCTATCAAATGAACATATTCGATCACAACCAAATCGTCCATACCCCATAATAAGCCTTCTTGATTTCACCTTCTGGTGCATTCTTACTCACTCCAAGAATACTATAGTAGTCCTTAGCAGACATAAAGGAAGAACCTAGTATTCAAAAACCGCAAAAAACTCGATTCAATTATAAAATCAATCCAACAACTGTGAGAATTTATAAAACCTCAAATCATACCTGTTCCATGAAATGACCTAGTTGAACCAAAATTAGTATTAAAAGCTCCAAAGTTGATCCATTTCCGATCATGTCCTACATTACAAGATCACAATGTTAAAACCCTCAAAAAAACTCAATCACACACACACAAACAATTCATAAAAACTACATTTTCTTATAAACCAAATTACCAGATTTTGAAGCGTAATCTCCAAGAACCTTGGCATGATTGCCAACACCTGTATTCAATCTCCTATAACCCCCAATACATACTCCTCTCAGTTTCTGCAAATTAGGAAAAAGTTAACCAATTTGAAATCAATTGAGAGAGATATAGAGAAAAAAAAGAAGAGGAGTATGAACCTGATTGCCTAAATCTTGAAGAAGCGATGAAGAGAGACATCGACGAGTCAACAAGCGAAGAACCTTTGCGCCATTGGAAGGGACCATTTTTACTCGAGGCTTTTTCAAGCTTCGATCTTTAAGCTTCTACCCAAATTCAATGGAGATTTAGTAAGTGGGTTTAAGTCTCCAGAGATTGAGACAGAGCAGCCAAAGTTAAAACCCTAGCAAAAACCCTGTTTTGTTGCTGCAGAACTGTGTAGAAGAAAGCAATTTCTGTTGTTCGCCACACAATACCGGGTTTGACCTTTTCTTACTCAACCCACCCATCATATCCGACCCAAATCAACCAACCCGACCCGGCCCATCCAGTGATAACCCCTAAATGGGCTCATCGGCCCAATGAAATACAAAACAGAACTATTGTTGACATCGTCTCTGTAACTCGCCGTCGTTGCGCACGATTGACCGGTAAATTGTACATAACAGTCACTTTCCTTATAACTCGCCCAATCGATCTGACCCGACCCGACTCGACTCGACCCATTATTACTCTAAAAAATCCATCAGAACTAAAGTTGCCGTCGTCTCTGTAACTTCGCCGTCGTTGAGGAGCACGATTGTGTTCGTCTGACCAAGAAATGACTAGAAAACTGTAATTAACAGTCACCTTCGTGATTTCTGGTAATTTTTATGATTTAGATTGACATGTTCCTCCTCAACCATCTAATTTTTCCAGTGTTCATCGTCCTACAATTTCAATTTTAACATAAAAGATGAAAACTTTGAGCAATTTAGCTGTAAATTTCGAAACTTTAAGCTAAGCTATTGTACGCAGGTTATTGGCATTAGGGTTTCGCTATAATGCGGTGGTTGCTACAGGGAAGAGTTAATTTGTCTACTAGTTTGTGTAAATGCAGAGAAAGGTTTGATTTTTTATATCAGCAGAGATGTGGTTTAGTTAACGTTAAGTTGAAATGGGTTAAAGATAAAGAACTTGATGCTGTTGTGGTTCGTGAAAAGCATCTTAAAGCAGTTTGTAATCTCGTTTCAGTTATTTCGGCTTCTCCTGATTTGAAACTACCTATCTTTAAGCTTTTGCCTCACCGCGGTCAGCTCGGTTTGCCTCAAGATCTTAAGCTTTCGGCGTTTATTCGGAGATATCCCAACATTTTTGTGGAGCATTGTTATTGGGATAATGCAGGTACTAGTGTTCCTTGCTTTGGTTTAACGTGTGAGGCGATTGATCTTTATTGTGAAGAAGCTGATGTTTTACGGGTTAACGAAAAGGATGTTATTGTGAGGTTGTGTAAACTTCTTATGCTTACGTGTGAAAGAACACTTTCGCTACATTCCATTGATCATCTCAGATGGGATTTGGGTTTGCCGTATGATTATAGAGATTCATTGATTCCTAAGCACCCGGATTTGTTCTGTTTGGTGAAGTTGTCTAGTGATCTTGATGGTTTGAAATTGATATATTGGGATGAACACCTTGCTGTTTCCCAACTGCAGATAAAAGAGGACGTTGGAAATAATGATCATATAGCCTTTCCGGTTAAATTTACGAGGGGGTTTGGATTGAAAAGGAAGAGCATGGAGTGGCTCCAAGAATGGCAGAGACTCCCTTATACCTCACCTTATGTCGATGCATCTCATTTGGATCCAAGAACTGATTTGTCAGAGAAGAGAAATGTCGGAGTGTTTCACGAACTTCTTCATCTAACAATTGGGAAAAAGACAGAGAGGAAAAACGTTAGCAATCTTCGTAAACCGTTTGCACTTCCGCAGAAGTTCACCAAAGTATTTGAGCGTCACCCGGGTATTTTCTACATTTCTATGAAATGTGATACGCAGACAGTGATCCTTAGAGAAGCATATGATAGGCGACATCTCATTGAAAAGCACCCTCTCGTTGAAATCAGGGAAAAATTCGCAAACATGATGAATGAAGGGTTTCTGGATAGAAGTCGGGGACTATATCAGAAATCTGTTGATACTGATTCGGGGAAGAACAATATCAAGACAATTTATCCGGTTTGGTCAGAAGAAGAAGAGTCAGACAATAATCCGAAATCTCGATACGACTCTGATTGTCATCTAGTTAAAGAAACATAAAACGGATGTTTTAGTAGTGAGTCCGGGTACAAGTTTTGTTACAATGGAACCAAATCAAGACGTCGCAGAAGGTGTGAGAGTTAAAGATCGCATTCTGCATCTAAGCCTGAGCTTTCGGCAGTGAATGGGGTTCTCCATTTAAATTCAGTCAACTGAATCTGATACTTCATCTTTCCCACAATCTTCCAAGCTGCGATGTTAAAAACAAAAACCTCATTTGATGGAACGCAACAGACGACATTTTCAAGTGAGCTTTTAGCATTTTCGCTAGCAAACAAAAGCTGGTTGATTGATTGTTGCCGGTTCTCTAAACGCGTAACAAGGACATAGAAAGAGGAATGGGTAAATTACTTTGGACTTGTCTTGTTTGAAGCGTGCATACACCTTTAGTCAATCTGAGTCATGACATCGTGTTTTCCGGAAGATGAATTATTGGTCTGAGGCATACATTGGATCGTTGATAGTGTGGTTGTTCTTTATTTGTCATTTGAATCGGTCTCTTAACATACAACAAATTCAAAACCTTGTTGTTTTCGTATCTGGAAATAATATTACATATTTATGAAATGAGATGAATTTCCGAAATTAATAATAAAAAAAAAGGTGATGTGTTGTAAACCACATAACGGATGGACTCCATAACCGTGGCCCATGTCCATGTTCTAGAAGGCCTATGTCCATGTTCTAGAAGATTCATGTCTAGCTTTTAGAATATTCGCCCAATGACGGTTTATGTTAGTCTTAGTGGGCTTTGGGTTTTAGGGTTTCCTAGTCCAATTGGGATTTGTCTCCCTTATTGTGTATATATAAGTTGTAACCTCATTCATTAATCAAGAGAATACACGAGATTCATAACACGTTATCAGCACGAATTTGCTCTTAACAACCCTAACCCTAAAAATCGCAAAATACTGTTCACACCGACACTGTTCATTGCGGTACTGTTCATCGCGACACTGTTCATCGCGAGACTGTTCATCGCGGCAATGTTCATCGTGACACTGTTCATCATGGTACTGTTTGCGGTTCGTTGCAGCAGCGTGAGTTACCGAGGTCTTTAGCTCCCGGTTCTAGTCCATACAACCCCAAAGGTGAAAGGTAAAACAACAAACCCTAAAGCTAAAGAACCCAACTCGAATTTGGATCTAACAAACGGCTAAGACCTAAAACGAACCTTGATTTTCTAAGCGATTGCTATTGCTTGTGAGATCCGATTGTTTGACTCGTTTAGGTTACTAGAAAAGTTGATTATTACTTAAGCTAAACTCGCCTAAGTTGCTAGAGAAGTTTTATTGCCAAAACCTAAAATCGCAAATCGAAAATACCTAAGCTAATGGCCGAAACTTTATAAGTCTAAAACCTAAAACCCTAAATCGGATCAAATCCGAAACCTAAACCCTAAAATATAAATCGATTGGTTAATGTTGTTAGGTTGTTTAGTTTGTTTGTTTCTATGATTGCTTCATGCTCAAATTGTTAGAAATCCAAATCCCTAAAACCGCATGAATCCCTAAACCCTAAAAACCTAGAAAATGAAGTTTCCTATTGTAAATAGGAAAATCCTAAAAACCCTAAAATCCTAATTAAAATAGGAAATCTTAAAACCCTAAAATCCTAATTAAAATAGGAAATCTTAAAACCCTGAAATCCTAATTAAAATAGGAAATCTTAAAACCCTGAAATCCTAATTAAAATAGGAAAAATTAAATCCTAAAGAAAGCAGGAAAACCTAAATAAAATCCTAAATCCTATTGTAAATAGGAAATTCTAAAATACTCTAAATCCTAATTAAATTAGGAAATTCATAAATCCTATTCAAGATAGGAAAACCTTAAGAAATAGAAAATTTCCAAATCCTAAATAAAATAGGAAATCTTAAAAATCTAAAATCATAAGTGAAATAGGAAAATTAATCCTAGAGTAAAGAGGAAAGTAAATCCTAAAAGGAAAAGGAAAAGTTAATCCTAATTAAAAGAGGAAATCTAATCCTAAGCAAAAGAGAAAATCTAATCCTAAGCAAAAGAGGAAAGTCAAATCCCTAAGTAAATCGATTCATGGTTCGGTCTCAAATACTGCATGACACTAACGATTACATGATTTTGACTCAAAACTTTTCCTTGTAGATGTTGAATTACAACTTGTATTTTACTGCCCTAAATCTCTTAGGAGATAATTATTTAAAATGGGCAATGGATACTAAGATTATCCTAAAAGTCAAAAGGACTTGGTGAATGTATCTAATAAGGCAATAATGCCAAGAGAGAAAGATAGATACAAGGCAATATTAGCCACCATCTTATTGAGAGTCTCATAATCCAGGACTATAAGTCCGTGGATGAGTCTATTGCTTGATGAGCAAAATAATGACTTACTGATAAAAACAGTGAATTACGACCTCATAGATTAACCCCATTACCTAATGCCAATAAGGCCGCAGAGGATAAGAAAGAATCCAAAGAATCTAACCACGTCTAAAGTAATAGACCACACGGCCGTAGCCGTAGTGGATGGAAAGGACGTGGTTGTGGCCACTATACTCATCCGGCCGTGGACCACTATAACCGTGGATGTAGACCCAATTCCGGCCGTGGTCGAGGGCGAGGACGATGTGGTATTTCCAAACCACAACACTCGACCAAATGAGTATGCCATAGATGTGGAATGGAGAACCATTGGGCTAAGATATGTAGGACTTCCAAACATCGTTGTGACCTCTATCAAGAGAGTGTGAAAAGGAAGAATCCTAAAGCCCATTTGGTATATAAAGATGGTGAACATGATCAAGATGATCTAATAGAGTATGAGACTTCTGATTGCCTAAAAGAATCAAGTTGATAAATCTGAGTTCGACATCAAAACCTCTATGTTTTCTTTGCATTTTATGTTTTCATTGATTGTTATTTCCTTGAATTTATTTTATATTATTTTATGTTTAAAACATGATTCTTGTCCATATAAGAAATGGCCGAGGACAAGAACATATTTGTGGTGGATAGTGGAGCCACACAAAAGATAAGAGATATTTTCCTAAATCTCATAATGAAAAAATGCCAATATTAGCACTATAGCGGGTATAGCAAATCTTATTGAGGGCTACGGCCAAACCCATATTCTATTACCAAATGGCACGCATCTTGAACTAAGCGATGCCTTATATTCACCCAGCTCAAAGAGGAGCTTATTGAGTTTCAAAGAAATAAGATTGAATGGTTTCCATATTGAAACAAAAGGTGAAGGGAACAAAGAATTCCTAAATATAATTGAGATCACCAAAGGACATAAGAAAGTCCTAGAGACTATACCCGCATTATCCACTAGTCTCTACTATGCTAAAATCGATATGATCGAAGCTAATATGGCAATGAACAGAGAGTTCATCGAGAAATTCACTTTATGGCATGACCGGCTTGGCCATCCGGGTCATAGTATGATGCGTAAACTAATAACTAATTCAAAGGGGCACACCCTAAAAGAGAAAAGAGTTATCCCTAAGAATCTCACGTGTGAAGCATGTTCACAAGGGAAACTCATTATAAGGCCATCACCGGCTAAGATAAATAAAGAGACCTTAAACTTTCTGGAAAGGATACAAGGGGATATATGTGGACCAATACACCCACCATGTGGGACATTTAGATATTTCATGGTCCTCATTGATGCATAGACAAGATAGTCGCATGGTTTGGTCTTAAATACCGCATGGACTAGTCTAAAATCGATTGCATGATTCGGTCTTAAATACCGCATGGCCCAAATCATAAGACTGAGAGCCCACTTTCCAGATTTTCCGCTTAAGACTATACGTCTAGATAATGCCGGTGAATTCATGTCCCAAGCGTTTAATGACTACTGCATGTCCATGGAGGTAAGTGTGGAACATCCCGTGGCACATGTACATACACATAATGGATTAGCGGAATCCTTCATTAAACAAATTCAATTGATAGCTCGACCATTACTCATGAGGTTGAAGCTTCCAGTAGCCGCTTGGGAACATGCTGTTTTACATGCATCAGAGCTTATACGCATAAGGCCATCTAGTGAACATAAATATTCACCATCCCAATTACTCATGGGTCATGAGCCAGACATATCCCATCTAAAGACTTTCGGGTGTGCCGTATATGTACCGATTGCTCCACCACATAGAACAAAGATGGGACCTCAAAGGAGGATGGGAATATATGTTGGATTTGATTCTCCCACCATTATTAAGTATCTAGAGCCAACTACGGGTGATCTATTTAAGGCTAGATACGCGGATTGTCATTTTAATGAATCCGAATTTCCTACTTTAGGTGGAGAGACAAAACAAGCTGGTCAAAGAAATATCATGGAATCAAACATCCTTAAATTGGAAAGATCCTCGGACTCTGATGTGTGATTCAGAGGTCCGTAAGATAATAAATTTGCAAAAGCTAGCTAATGAATTGCCAGATTCCTTTGATGACCCAAAGAGAGTTACAAAAGCGTACATACCAGCTTGTAATGCACCAGTACGTATTGATGTTCAAAAGGAACACAATCAAGTTGCTACAGAGTCTAGACAACGTAAGAAACGTGGTAGACCAATAAGTTCCAATGATAAAAACCCTCGGAAATTAAATAAAGGTGCAATAGGAATCCGAGGTTACTAAGGAAACCATCCCAGACATGGAGATAAGGCCGGCCGGCTCTAAGGTACATGTACCATATAATGTAGCTTGGGACGCCAAGCTGCAAAGTATTAAAGGTCCTGACCATAATAAATCTCAAATCGATTATATCATGTCTGGAACATAATGGAACATATAAGAAATGTCGACATAAGATGATTTTGCATGCAAGGTAGCACTTGAATTTATGAATATAAATGAGGATCAGGAGCCCACGTCTATACTAGAGTGCACTCAAAGACTTGATTGATTAAATGGTACAAGACCATAAAACGTGGAGCTAAGAATCATTAAGAAAAGGAATGAGTTTGGTCCGACCTTAAGGACACCATTCGATGTAAAAACCAGTAGGACACAAATGGGTCTTTGTGAAGAAGAGAAATGAGAATAATGAAATCGTGAGATATAAGGCACAGGTTATAGCACAAGGATTCTCACAAAGACCGGGGATAGATTATGAAGAAACATACTCCCCTGTGGTGGATGCTAAGACATTTAAATTTTGCTAAGTCTGGCTATATAAAAGAGAAAGACTTGATTTGCGGCTAATGGATGTAATGCCTGCATATTTATATAAGTCCACTGGATAATATATATGAGATTACCAGAGGGTATTGAGCTCAAAGATAAGAAAGATTCTCGAGAATATCACTGCATAAGGCTAGACAAATCCTTTCATGGACTTAGACCAAATGGGCGTATGGAATGTTATAAATGATCCCATTAGTCCATGTATTTTCATAAAAAGGTTTGCAAACAAAGGATTTGTAATCATAGCAGTGTATATGAATAATTTAAACCTCTGGGTAATCGACCAAACAGTTGAGTATATCTAAATGAAAGACCTAGGCAATAATTAAGTTCTGTTAGAGATTACAACCTGAGTACATGAATAATGGAATCCTTGTGCAT